GCTGGGTGGGCAAGGAATTTTCAGAGAAGAGCAGGGTCAGAGATTACATTGGCTCCCATGTGGGAAATTGTGGTGCCTCTAGATGAGATAGGCCAGGGATGAAGAGACATGATGGGGGAGACTGAGGTGGCGATGCCGTGTTCTAGAAGGAACTGGAGTTAAGGGTTGAAGGTCGCGTGTGCACGTGGGAGTACAGACGTCTTTGAGGGTGGTCACAGGTTCTCAGGTCACAGGAGGTGATGGTTCTGAGGGTCACAGGAGGTGACGGCTCTGAGGTCACAGGAGATTATAGCTCTGAGGTCACAGGAGGTGACGGCTCTGAGGTCACAGGAGGTGATGGTTCTGAGGGTCACAGGAGATGACGGCTCTGAGGGCCACAGGAGGTGATGGTTCTGAGGGTCACAGGAGATGACGGCTCTGAGGGCCACAGGAGGTGATGGTTCTGAGCGTCACAGGAGGTGACGGCTCTGAGGTCACAGGAGGTGATGGTTCTGAGGGTCACAGGAGGTGATGGTTCTCAGGTCACAGGAGGTGATGGTTCTGAGGTCACAGGAGATGACGGCTCTGAGGGCCACAGGAGGTGATGGTTCTGAGGTCACAGGAGGTGATGGTTCTGAGGGTCACAGGAGGTGATGGTTCTCAGGTCACAGGAGGTGATGGTTCTGAGGTCACAGGAGGTGACGGCTCTGAGGTCACAGGAGGTGACGGCTCTGAGGTCACAGGAGGTGACGGCTCTGAGGTCACAGGAGGTGACGGTTCTGAGGGTCACAGGAGGTGATGGTTCTGAGGGTCACAGGAGGTGATGGTTCTGAGGGTCACAGGAGGTGATGGTTCTGAGGTCACAGGAGGTGATGGTTCTGAGCATCACAGGAGATGACGGCTCTGAGGTCACAGGAGGTGATGGCTCTGAGGTCACAGGAGGTGATGGTTCTGAGGGCCACAGGAGGTGATGGTTCTGAGGGTCACAGGAGATGACGGCTCTGAGGGCCACAGGAGGTGATGGTTCTGAGGGTCACAGGAGATGACGGCTCTGAGGGCCACAGGAGGTGATGGTTCTGAGCGTCACAGGAGGTGACGGCTCTGAGGTCACAGGAGGTGATGGTTCTGAGGGTCACAGGAGGTGATGGTTCTCAGGTCACAGGAGGTGATGGTTCTGAGGGTCACAGGAGGTGACGGCTCTGAGGGCCACAGGAGGTGATGGTTCTGAGGTCACAGGAGGTGATGGTTCTGAGGGTCACAGGAGGTGATGGTTCTCAGGTCACAGGAGGTGATGGTTCTGAGGGTCACAGGAGATGATGGTTCTGAGGTCACAGGAGGTGACAGCTCTGAGGTCACAGGAGATTATAGCTCTGAGGTCACAGGAGGTGACAGCTTTGAGGGTCACAGGAGATGATGGTTCTGAGGTCACAGGAGGTGATGGTTCTGAGGTCACAGGAGGTGACGGCTCTGAGGTCACAGGAGGTGACGGCTCTGAGGTCACAGGAGATTATAGCTCTGAGGTCACAGGAGGTGACGGCTCTGAGGTCACAGGAGGTGATGGTTCTG